ATATGTGTAAAACTTAGGCACTTTGGGAGTAAGTAATTTCATATTAATTAGATTATTAGATGTATCATACAGTGAAACAGTGTAAACAGGGAAATGTAAAACTTAAATAAATAATGATAGTAGTTATAGTGATGATAATAATAGTATTATTGACGACATGCATGTCAAATATGCACAAGAAAACATCAACAATAAGGAATCTAAATCATCAATAGTCATTCCTTACAAGGAAGGCTCCTTGGAAACCTTACGCGGAACTCTTAACAAGGCAGGAATAAAAATGGCTGGCCTTCAAATCACCCACAAAATCAATCAGAAACAAGCTTTGTCTGTTAGAGGATGAATCCTGTGGAGTCTTTAAAACAGAACAATTTAGTTTATCTAATACACTGCCTGCAATGACTGTCAAGTTAAATACATAGATCAAACTAGTAGAACAGAGTCAGTGAGTCAGACTAGCCAAGCATAACAACCTAACAAAATCTAGGTTGGTTGACCCGAATAAGATAAAAAATCCTCAGAATAGTCCAGCCATAGCACTATATGCGATTACACACAACCATACAATAGGATGGGATAGGATGGCAGTTTTAAAATCTAATGTGATAGGATGGAGAGAGAGATTGATAACAGAAGCTTTGTTTATCGAATCAACTGCAAACACGTGTAACAGGAATGATTCAACACCTGTCCAGGTGGAAATCTGAAATATCCTACTACCCCTAGGACAAATATGAGAGGAAAAAGAAAACTACAAAACTGAAGTTTCGAAGACAAATGACATAGATTGATAAAAGCCTTCAGAATAAAAAGAAAGAATATTCATGGGAATATGGGATGAGACTGGCAAGGTATTTTTACCATACAGATGACAAATGTGACCGTAATTATGAAACGGCAATCATGACGTCACCAGCTGCATTGGAATATTGTATATTGCAACTTTTGAGTAACTTTATCTGAACCTACAATTCAGTGGAGATTCATCAGGAGATACACTGAGAAACCGCCTGTCCCGTGCTCACCGAATAAAACCTCTGCGGATAAACTCTGACTAAACTTCTCTACAAAAAAATGATTCTCATGAACGTAAGGGATAATCTACCACTGTTTGCCGGCCTCATTATTGTGCATCTACCAATTCATCTGCTTATGTGGAGCCTGTTATGTTGACCCGTACTCAGCGTTTTCTATCCAACCGTATCATCGAACACCTATTCTCATAATTTTATAAGGTAGGAAAATTCGCTCTGAAGCTCTATTTTGGAAAGCGTGATCGAATCGGAGCACCAAGACAATCCACAAAGTAACTTCAAAGTCGTCTACAGAATGTGTAGAAATCTTGCTAAAAGAGTACTAGTACGAGTCTTCAAACTGCAGAGGCAATGGCAATTCACATATTAAAACCTGAACTTTGCTTACAAAAGACGTTTGTTCAGTGATTAAATCTGTAGTGTACCTGACCCAACTTGACACCAAATACATAATTTGTGCTTCGTATTTTTCAAGCTAGTGCGTCGGTGGCATGGAGTTTAGGACGCTCACCGACCATGCACATGGTTCGGGGTTCGATCTCCGGCCACAGACTCACTCCATTACCTGGCTAAGCCAGAAATAATGCCGGTAAAGAGGAAAGATTGGGTATGAGGCTAGCAACCCTATCCTGTAAAAGCAATCATCTCTGCTAGAGAAACTTCAAGCCACTAGCTTGAAGCCCTATGTTCCACTGAGGAACGTGAAGAAAAAAATTTTCAAGCCTGCTAGTTTTTCAGCTGTACAACATTTTCTGCCACCTCTTATTAAAATCTCTATCCCGTATTACCACTGTTGTTTACTTGACTTTTGTTCATTTTTAATTTTAGCTGAGGTCTACTCAACTCCATCAATTTGACTACATCACTCAACTTGCTTATTTAATCTTACTTCAGTTTCTAACTAATTAATGAAATTTTGTTATCTAGAACTTACAATTCTAATAATTTTACTTTATTTTCTTCCCAATTATATAACTTTTTACGTCACGTAGTTTGTTGACTAAAATTTACAGTTTTAATCACAGATGCTAAGAAAATTAACTTTATTTATGCGAGTGTACAGCTTGAGAATGACACCGCCGAAAAGAGCTACTTTCTGCCGAACGTCTTTTCTTTTATACCATATGTTGTAAGAACAGATCTCGTCCAGAATAGTGATGGTCAGATTCTGTTTGTCTTTTTTCGATACTGAACTTTGCACCAGTGTGCAGCAGTTCAAGTCGTCACACTTCATGTAGCACACAAAGCAAGAGAAAAAAGTAGAAGAAAGGATCAAAGGAGACAGTAGGCAGGGATATGATTCATCCCGAAAGGTAAGAAAATTGAAATTATCCAGTGCTAATCGTCTAAGAACAACGCAGACCAAGATAAGAAGGATGAATTCTTCAGACAACTGAAAAAAAGTAGAGGACATTATCCTAATTGATGACATCGAAATCCTAGTGAATGATACAAGTTCTTAAATTGGACTGGACAACACAGGAAGTAAACGCATCATGGATACAGTTGTTCTTGGAGAAATGAATGAGAAGGATGAAATCGCTTCAGACTTGAATGCGTATAACGATCGAGTAATTGGAGGCAACAGATACAAGCTCAAGCTAATACACAAGGCTATGTGAGTTTCACGACATGGATGCATCAGAAATAAAGCCAATGCCTAACCTACTTGACACAAAGTCAAGAAGAAGAGTAGATATTACCTGAGATCATTAAATAGTACAAGGAATATACCTGGTCAGGTTGAAGATCTTAAAATAAGTTATGCATCAAGCAAAACCCAGGTTTGGCCCTCAAAATCTGAAGGACGAAACTACAAAAGGCATCTTCGTATCAGGGTTTAAGTCGAAGTCTGCGAATTTATGCAGAATCACCGAGGTCATCTATGTGGATGAACATCGAACTCTTTTGAAACTGATGCGGAAGTGAAGTTATATAGGCATCTGCGGAAGGAAGAAGAGATAAAACAAGGAGTGGATCTCTACAAGCGTGCGGGAGAATGTGTGCACTGAATACCAACGCTATGCATCATCACTGAACAGACTACTGAATATTAGTCAAATCTATACCGCAACTTTATCAATTTTAGAAAGGCCTTACATAAATTCGGTCGTCTAAAGGCCTGAAGGGGATGAGGAAGAATTGTAATGTGCTGCTGCAGCCCTGTTTCTCACTCAGAACTGGCAAGGGGTGAGCAGTAGGGTGCAGCAGGTTGGGTGTGAGGACAAATACTCGCCGAAGACATTGGCTAGCGGTTGCGCTATGTCATGAATTGGCAGAGGTTAGAATTCATAGGCCAATGGGTCGGGTCCCAGTGGCCTAATTGTACACGAGCTCGCCTTGTAACCAGAAGGTCCTGGGTTCGAATCCCGGTGGGTGCGTACTGCTGAAGAGTCCCAAACTAGGACGTAACAGCTATCCAGTACTCCCTGCAGGTTCTCCATTGGTTCTCTAACCGATCTCAGCTCATGATTAAATCCTGTAACGAATGATAACCATGCCTAAGAGAAAAAACTGCCAAAGAAATTAGCTGGTCAGTGCTGATTCCTCATTATTTGTGTTCAGCTTTATTCTGCTCACCATTAGTAAGTAATGAGTTTATATTTTGTTTATTATTTCGGTACACCATAGCCATATGCCATTGAAAATTACCATTCCCAATATTTAAACATTCGGTTTGTTCTATAGTTATTTTCTTCCTAAAGCAAAACGGTGTCTACTGTGATTGCATTATGCATCTTTCATTGTTTGTTGAACACTGTTTATTCTAATCCCTTATTCTCTGTCTGGACATTAACGCGCTCCTTAATCTGACCTTGGATCGCTTTTGGCATTGGCTCACACTTACAGTGGGTTTGCCGGGTTACAACCATTGTAAACCTCACAATTTGAGGTGTTTATATTATATTCGTTATTTTATGTAAAATATATTACCGTAGTTGAGATAAGCCGTGCATTGTTGAATTTCACGCGTAACTCATACTTTTTGTTTTGTCTATTGATTGTTACAGATTTTTTAGGAGAAATTTACTGTCAGTGTATCTTGGCTACATGAATTCTAACTCTCATGGTATGACCATCCCAGTAAATTATGCAAATGTTTAAATTATAAACAAGAATTGCAGAGTAACAGTAAAAATTAGGTTTAAATGCGTTAGTTAAATGGTTTATTTAACAATACTGGGATGCAGCATACTTCGAGATTAGTGAGTTGCTTTAATAAAGTTGATCAAGGCCGTGAATCTGTTATCGAAACAATATCTAACACAAAAGGTCATTTTGATAGGCATCGTACATAAATTGCATTCAAATGAAGGGTAATTAAGTCACGTATAAAATCACACAACTCATCAATGATTAGCTATCACCAGGTTACGATCACGCGATATATCAGTTCTCAAGAACAAGAATCAAGTTAATCTAAGGTCAAATGTAATTTAATTACCATCACTTAGCCACATTTCACGTGAAAATGTCAAGTTCAACAAAATATGTGTTAAATCAAGCACTCATATCATGATCATACATTCTTTAAATGACATGTAAACGTGACAATCTGATCACTTCATTTGAAACCAACAAACATACACATGAACACAATTGCATATAAAAGTTGTACTGAGCTGATCTAGTACATAACATTTTTGCAATTTAACACAACATATCCATTCACACTACAGTGAGTAAGTTTGTAAATTCATTAAATTACTTTTGGCCCATCATGATAATATTCTCGGCCTCATTACCTTCATATCCGTATATTCCATCTTGATTGCAGGCTGAAGATGAAGCTGTTCTTATGCATAATGCTCATTTTGGCTGTTTGTCATCACTTACTATCCGAAAATGTAGCCAACAGTCAATCTGTTACAGGTGAGTGAGTTGATATAACCCTGGGCTTCTGTCTTATATGACATCAAATGCGCATTATCATATTTCACAATCTTTCACTACTAATTATTTCATTTAACTGAACTTGAGATTTTCCCATCGATTGATTGGACCGAAGTTCTCCGTCTCAGGTTGACATGTCGGCTTCTTGTGCAGATGCTTCGACGGTGTCTGGGCATTTAGTTAGAATTTAATTTGTGGAAGGTGACTAGCAGTGGAATTTGAGATTTTCCCGTCAATTGATTGAACCGAAGTGCTCGGTCTCAAATAGGACGAAATGCGCATCCTGGATTCCACTGCTAGTCACCATCCACGAATTAAATATTAATTATTTCAATCAAATTCAAGTAATATCACATCCTGATCAGTTGGAATTTCTTACTGTGAAATAGATAAGATCCAGAGTGACAGCTTATTAGAAAAAAAACGTATTGATGAGCATTTGAACCACATTCTTTCTAGTTGATGAGCAGACACTGATGAACTCATTTCTAGATGTATTTCTTTTAAATAAGATGCTGGTAGTCAGTCTAAACATGAAATAAGTTGTATACGTGGTGGTTCTTGTAAGTTAGAATTCGCTAATAGATACACATTCATTTTACATCATATATCTTTAGAGCCACTGTGAAATTAAATCTTCATCAAACTCTCTCTCTTCATTCATTTTATAGAGGATTTGAACAACAACAGTGGAAATGCAACACAAGGAGCAACTTCTGACAACACTAATGATGGCTATGATAATGATGATGATGATGATGACAGCAACGAAGATGATTTAATTGTGTACTATTTTGGCACAGATGGTGACGGCGATGATAATGACAATGACATAAACAATACGACCGACGAAGTAGGTGATGCAGACAACAACGACACGCGAACTACAATCAAACCACCAACTTTATAGATCTCCATATAATCCAGAATAATATTCTCTCTCTTTATTGTAATTCGAGTGGTCCTTTTCTCTGTTTGGTTGACTAATATGTGAATCCTGCAAAGTGATACTGCAGCATTAGAATTTCTTTTAGATAAATATAAGAAATACTACTTGATCAAATAATTGTCTTTGATAAATCTCTTATCAGTCTGTACATATATACGTCCATTGATATGGCAATACAACAGTCATTAATGGCTGGATTATGATCATATCAGAAGAAGAAATACGATGTATTGAATTAAATCAATGGGATGAGAGTTAACACAATACAACAATGAAATATGATAAGCATTACATAATTTTAGTGGGAAAGGAATAATACTCAAAGCAAATGCTTGGTATGAGTAAGGTGTTTTGCTCAAATGAGTAAGCCCATTGGATGGAAACATTGCCATCCATCTTTCTTTACCTTTATCACTCTATTTGATGATGACTGGTTTCTGTTAACAGTCTGTTGGATATCTTCAACATCTCTGCTTTGTGTCTGTTCTTTGAATCTTCTGCCAGTAGAGTGACCTTCGCATATGAGTCTTTGAGTTTCTGAAGCATGAAATATATGTCATCCGCAAAATACAGATCTTCTAGGGTAATACTATCGGCACCCATCTCGTCACTCAATGCTGTCTGTCACATTATCCACTCCATCGGAATCAAGAATATCAACGGTGGTAGCAGGTAACCCTGTCTCACTCTTTTCATAATTTTAAATGCCTGGCTGCGTTTCACATAGTGAATCCCTTGTAATGTAGTACTATCATGTACCTGCTAAAGGACGTATGCAACTGTTTGCATCACTATACAGTGTAGCACTAAAGTCAACATTGTCAACGGCTTCTTGGCTTCTACGGCGATGAAACACACACTTGACTTTCATCCTATTTCTTTAATGCATCAGTTGAATTTCTTCTAACTAAGTTATTCATGTAGCTTCAGCTTTGGATGAGAGACGTAATCACGTTAGTTAAATGAAAATGTTCAGCACTCTATCGGTAATGCTTATCACATTTTGGTGTGCTGTACATAGAAACTGTTTGTAAAATTATTTATTGTTTTAATGATGTCGTGCATAAATATTCTGAAGTATCTCTGAAGCCGTTTCAACAAGACACAACATATGGCTGGTAGCTTCTTTGCGTAGTTGCTAAACTGTGTACCAATCAGAATAGCCAACCAGTCAGTTGATCGTAGAAACAAGAAGGAGAACCAGAATACCATTCTTACATTAGATTAACCGCAGTCGAAGCGATAATTAAGAATGATGTTGATGTCTCTTCAACAGATGAATCTCTTGTTATACACAAGGCTATCTCTGAAATTAAGTTCCTCATTTCATCCAATTTTTTCCTAATATATAATTTCATATGTCTTACCGACTAATATTCATAATTCATCTTTACATGCATTTACATTAATTCTTAGATAGATAGGCCTAAAGCAATATCCTTTACTAACTAATGTCCTTTTATTTTGAAAAATAATAAGTGTACATTATTGGCAGTAAATAATGAAGACTTGCTTGTAGGATGAGACGGGATCATCTAAAGCTTTGAAGGAAAGATAAGCCAATCTAAGATGACAGCTGTACAGAACAAAATGAGATTAGTTGGATCGATAGAACAAAGGGAAAATTGGAAAGTAAAAATGAAACCCAATCATAATAACGATGACAGAAGACGTAGTTTCACTGGTTCCTCGATTTTGTGCATCAAAGCCTTTTCTTCGTGTGGATGATTTATGCTGCAGCAATACAAATAATACAGTCTGCTCTATAAATTTTTTTATTTTTTTTATTTTTGATTTACAGCTTGATTCCACACTGTATTTTTGGTACTAGTATGGAATTTTCAGCATGGATATCGGTAGCCCAAATTTTGCAGGCCGACCATAGATATCAGGTGTGCGCCGGCGCGGGCTCGAACCCCGGACCATGTGCATGGTCGGCGAGAGTCCTAACCACTGCGCCACTGACTCGATGGCGAAATGCCGAAAAAAATATTCGAGCAATATTCCGCAAACACATTCTCCGAGATAATTTTTGACTTGTCAACAACATTAAATACTTGAATGTAAGCGATAAACATATCATGCCAATTGATGGAGAACCAGTTTTTGACCTCGAGTGTGATTTCCCTTGTTCCTGAGTGGTAAGTATTGATAACATGTTCAGAGCTTATTGATTCAATCTCTTCACATTTGAACAAGTTAAAATTTTGTTTCTTAATACCACCTTGTAAGATTTACATCGAGCAATCTTACTACAGAGGAGCAGAGAATCGATAGACACCCATGGCATCGGTGATGTGAGAGAATTCATCCCTTGAAGCGATAAAGATCACAGAAAAACGGTGAATAGTAATGTCAATGTTGAAGTATTCAAAATAGGGAGATCAGCATTCTCCTTCGTTGAGTCACTGTGCTGGACTGCATACTCACTTATTATCTTAAGACACAAGCATTCGCCACTTTTAAAGACGGCTAACCTACACAGCGTATCTGTTTGCACCTAGATGACGATCTTTCTTTCTCATTAACGCTGCATTTCTTTAATTCCAGAGAGTCTGATATCGTCATTTTGGGCCGAAGTTTCCTTAAGTAAAAAACTATCATATTCCAGTACAAGGAGAAGGGATTCGTCTGATCGAAATGAAGTAAGATGAAATTAAATTTATCTTACGGCTATTTGCTTTTAAGATGTTAAAGCTTATTAGAGGATTATCCAATCTGGATTTTTGTAAGGCGGTCTCGTCAGTGTATAATTAGTCTTACTTGTTAGTAATGGAGTATACCGAAACAGTATAGCCCGTCTGAAAATCACTGCTGAATAATGGGTTTACAGTGTTTATTACTGAGCAAATAATACAGCTGATCAGTTGATTTGATGAAGATCACAGATTACCATTTTCTAGGCCTTTAATGAAACAATATACCTAAATATAACTCCGTGGATACTGCTGTCCGTAAACTACTTCGTTGAATACAAAGGGTACATTTAAGTAGAAATTAACTATGCTGTGTATTCCACTGTCTAGTGTAATAGCTGTTAACTTGCACATTTGCGTAGATAATAAGTCATTTCGGTAATCCAGGATTTGAAAAAGTTGACTCGATGGCGAAATGCCGAAAAAAATATTAGAGCAATATTCCGCAAACACATTCTCCGAGATAATTTCTGACTTGTCAACAACATTAAATACTTGTACGTAAGTGATAAACATATCATACCAATTGATGGAGAACCAGTTTTTACGAGTGTTATTCTGATGGGTGAAAATATAGATGGGCTTAGTCCTTCTAAACCAAATCTGTCTTGTGTGCACTAGCATATATCGAAGCAGTTGCTGACTCATTTAAAGAGGAATTTCCTATGCAGTTTTGTTGGTATTACCCGGAACGATATAGCAACTAAAAGTCTCATGGAGACCTTTGCACTGCGCTAATATAAGTGTCATACTATCTTAAAAAATTCGTTCTATTTCCCTTGGTAATTTTTCGATGGTCTAATTTCAAGCTATGGTAAGTGAAGCAGAACAAGCTGCAGGCAAAGAAGACCTCCATCACTCTACCAAACAACTAGGTTCCTATCGGAGAAGAGATCAACACAAATAAAGCCAGTGAAGGATGACAATGGGAAATCAATCACCAAAGAAGTGGAGCAAAAAAGGACTTCTTAATCGACCGTCACCTACAATGCACTCAATAATACCAACAGCGGAAGCAGAACTACCAGTGGATATCAGCTCTCCGAAAAAAGCATGAATGCTTAAGGTCACGAAAATGCTAAAAACTAGCAAAGCAGCAGGACCAGATAGAATACCAGCAGAAGCATTGAAAATGGACCCAGAAACATCAGCGGACTTGATGACATCACTACTGAAGAAGGTGTGGAAAGAAGGCATGGTGCCTGCGGATTGGAAGAAAGGTTACCTATTCAAACTTCTAAAGAAAGGAGACTTAAGTCAGCGCAAGAACTGGCGTGGAATTATGCTCCAGTCCATCCAAGGGAAACATTAACCTGCATCATCCTGGAGAGAATCAAACACTCCCTGGATGAAAAACTACGACCAGAATAGGCTAGACTCAGGAAAACAAGTCATGCATCGATCAAATTGCAACACTGCAGATCATCATTGAGCAGAGCTTGGAATGGCAGTCAGCTCTCTACCACAATTTCATTGACTTTGAAAAATCCTTCGACAGCGTCGATGGAGAGTTGATCTGCCAACTACTTAGCTACTACGGTGTGCCACCAACATCTGTACACCTCATCCAATAGTTGTACGGTGATGCTGCAAGCCAAGTAATCCACAACAGGAAACTCACGGAATCCCCCGAAGTGAAGACAGGAGTGAGACAAACTGACTGACTACTATCTCGGCGATCTTCCTGATTGAGGTAGACTGGCTAGTCCAACAGACAGCGAGCAACGAGGAGACAAGCATAAAATGGACACACACAAAAACTTGAGGGTTCTAGACTTCGCCGCTGATTTATGTCTGATTTCCCACAAACTGGAAGATATGTACGTGATAGGCAACAAGTTGGTAGAAAAAGAATTAAGAGAAGATGAGACTTTAAGTGAACATAGAGAAAAAAGAGTTGGTAAAGATTCCTGGCCAACAGCAATAGCAACGACAACAGACAACAATCAGCCTTAATGGGAGGAATCGGAAAGAAGCAACCTCCTTCACCTACCTGAGAAGCAACGTTTCAACTACAGGCGGAGGGGACTTATGAGTATATCAAAGCGAGGATCCGGAAACAATAATAATATAATTTCAATAACACGTGTATGCAGGGAATGCAGCTGTAAACATCTGATGAAGAAAATCAAGATGTGAACCATTTAACATAACGTGATTATCAGTGAAGCATAATTTGATTTGAGGCCTGTCTGTCCGAAGACTGAGTCATTCATTCTTCACATTGGCATATCTCATACATGCAAAAATATAAAAAATTTCATGGTTTACTCGTACTAATACAGTCTATGCATACAGTGTTTATTATTCTTAATATCTCACCTGTCATATAAACCATGTGTGACTTTTGAGAATAATACATTGCTTACTATGGTTAACACTGTACTTGAATGAGTGAACGGATCTAACTTAAGCTATTGGCTACCCTCAACATATTTTGCTTCAAACACATCTTGTTCTGTTTTCTGAATCTTACAGACACAAGTTTGATCCTGTCTTTTTGTGATCAGTGTTTTTGTTCTCACCACGTATTATCTGCCTGAGAAAGCATGGAACAGTGTAGGTGATTGACAGTATTGTTGGAGAATCATCTTTGCCTCAGGAGAGTTTCACAATCTACATAGGCGAAAGTGGTAAATAGTGTGGTGAGTGTCAGCTCAGTTTTAATCTATTTGTTGCTTACATTCAGAACTTAATACTGATATGCCGATATTCACAGAATACCTTCCTTATATGATGAGATGACCAGATGATAAAAACACATGCCCATCACTTATCCTTCTAGTATTCGTGTCGGCTTCTATCGGACTCAGATATATAACATCGACAAAACACAGAATTACATAAAAGAGCACAAAAAATATTTCAGATATTACACTAAGATATGCCTGATTATAAGTAAATAAGAAAAATACGAGTTTGTTTAACTGTTGTTAGAGAAACACTGATGATATATATTTAGTACCACTCAATACACCAACATGCTTCTTATGATTATAGATATTTCGATATTGACTGAATCGACAACGTCTGTGTCTATACGACGAACGACGATAGTGTGATTTCTTCTGGCAACATACGGAAGGAGATTTTTTGGTCAACTAATTTTAAGAAATACTTAAGTTATGCGGAAATTCTAAAAGATGAAAATGACAAATCTAAAATTTTTGAGATGTCTAAGCTACTTATCACCGAATGTGATTATTCTGAGCTTCGATTAGCAAAAAAATTGCGAAGCCTTGTCGAAGATGCTACATGGTTATAAAAAGAATGTAAAGGCCATGAATAAAATGATTCGAATAATCATTGTTCAACTAAGAGAGTGAAACATAAGAAAGGAATCCAAAGGAAATACCGTATAGGGATTAGAATGTCTACAGATCAAGTGGAAATCAGTAACGATGGTTCCGGAGCGAAAAATGATGAAAACAAAATTCATAGTACTTATTTGTGGTAAGAAGTGTAAAGTTGAATACAAATGAGAGGATGATAAAAAATGGATAGATAGGGAAGAAACTGACTAGCACATGTCTCATCTATTAGGGTATGTGTACAGCCTCTTAGCAAAACATCCCACTGTCCTACAAATTCCACCTTGCTTATTATGTACACTGTATGTCAGGTATGCCTGTTCATCCTGACTGATTCAAATGAAGGGCAGAGAATCCAAGATTATACATCATTACGTGTGTATGGATAATCCTTCGGTAACACAGATTTAAATTACACACTCTCCTCAAAGTCGGATATTTAGTATTGGTAAAACTACTAAACTAAATAAGTCACCAACCGCAAAAATTGGATCGGGAGACTTATACAAACATACAGACACAAACACATATATTCAATAACCACAATCAACAGAACCTCAAACATTTTGTTTCCATTATACTAAGTATTGTAATTGAATGACCTCAGAACACAACTCTGTGTAAGGGGCACATGAGGTGAGTTTTGTTTTCTGAAAGTCATTTCTTATTGTTCTCTCGTTCCCTTCTCACCTGCTTCTCATCAACAATGGAATTCAGTGTCTCTGTCACTTAATCCTAATTGTGAATTTCAGTTATCCAATACGTATATTGTTGTGGTAGATTATATTTTACACTACAGGCTCAGACGATCAACGATAGACCAATTCAATCTTCATGTTAGTTGAATCGAATTCTCCTCCCGTCTGTCTCTAACACTATCTCAGTGCAGAATTTATGTCACAACATGAGCAGACTCCACAAAACTGTCAGACCATCCATCAGTCAGTAACAGTATGAATTTTGTCTATAAAAATTAACACTATGTGACGCTCTATTTTATGCAACCCTCGAGAAACAAAACTTTCAACTATCTCTTTATGAAATTCGGAATTAATACATGATGTCATTGAGCAATCAGATGAGGTTGACGACCGATCATAGATGACGTAACAACTGAGGAATCCTCTAATGTTGAGATTGCAGTGTGAGCAGTCTAAAGAGCAGATGTGCATTGCGGGCACATAAAATTCATAGAATTATGGCTTCCCTGTATCAAGACAACATGTGGGAAGCTAGTAACATGAAGTGGAGATTGAAAACTAATCATACTGACTTTATATTACTCAAGACAGTGAAGTCAGTCTATTCTCGTCTGCAACAGTATGATTCTCAAACTAGAACACACATGGAATGAGGGAGGTGAACGATTTTATACAGGAATCTTAAGAAGGCAGCCTGGCTCAAACACATAGTAAATATCGTATTCCACTGCCGTCATGTATTCACCTGATTGCATATCATATGTTCATGGTACTTCATTACATGGAATTCCACACGTTCGTTGCTAAACATCCTATCTTCAATTAACACACTAAGAATAACTTCATTAATAATTACTAAATGGGTTTACGCTACATGTTTCATTAAATGCAGTCACACACAGCGAGAGTGAACACACCTTAAGATATTCCTATCAAACCATTCAGCCCCAAGTAGTGTATGGTACGAAAAAGAAGAGTTGAGGTTGCAATACATGGGTTATTCGATTTGGTAGCCAGAAATGAAATGAATCACACTTTGACACTCATGCGCTGCACAATCCAATATCCCAGATCCACAACATGACCGAAGCCATGATTGTGTCGGTGTGCACACAACAATTCTCACAAGATATGACACAAACCATGTCATTCCAATAACCGTTGGACATTCATTTCATCCAAATGTAGTGTGTTTCCACCACATGTAATATCACACCACAGAATGGAAGCTACCTATTTCCCTGTAACTGTCACGAGATGTGTCAATTCTCAAGCACAACTATCGAGTTGATCAAGGGTTCAAGCTAATTGATTTGCAGTCACTCAGTCACATTTCACACCTTTTTCATGTTATTCTCGATCAATTGCAATAAAATATGTGCAGTACTAAGCATTGAGGTCGTGATCACGCACTGGTTATTTAACGTGTGAATGTGAGGACCCACCTCATTCAACTCGAAATCAACAAGCAGTCACATGTGAATTCAAACGTGTATAAAATATGTACTGATCTGATCTGTTAGCAATATTTCTGAACATTTCACAATACATTCCCCTTTATAGTACACCAAGTCAGTTTGTGAATTCACTGAATTAATTTTACCTCATTATGGTAACATTCTTATCCCTATCACCTTCATGTCAATATATTTTTTCTCATTTGCAGGATGAATTTGAATCTTTTCTTATGGACGATGTTCCTTTTGACTGTCTATCATCAACTATTATCCGAAAGTGTAGCTTTCGGTCAAGCTGTTACAGGTGAGTAGACTGATATGACTTTGTGTTTCTGTCTTTCATAATGTCAAATCCGCTTCATCAACGCTCACAATTTCCTACTAGTTAGACCATGTTGTATTTATTCTAGTCACACTCAAACAGTCTCACATCCCTAATGGTTTTGATTGTGTAATGTATAATTCAGAATGACATCTAATCTGAGCGTAGTTGCTGATAAGTAATTGAATGATATCAGATCCATTCATACAGCTAACCTGTTTGGTTTGCATGAGATGATCTAAGCAGTTCTAGAGTAGAAAGGGACATAAATGCACATTGAGTGAGTTGTTCATCAATCCTTGTGGGTTTATTTGTACATATGCACAGATACATAAGCATACCATGTCACAAACCGTCAGGTTACTTTATAAAGTTAACCCTTCATCGAAATCTTTATATGTATCTTAAAGATGACGCAAACCTTCGAAACGGGACACAGAGAGCAACTCCCGACGACGATGATGATGATGATGACAATAAGGAAAATGAAAACAATGTTGATACAACTGAAGATGACGATGATGATAACAGCAATGCAGATGACGAAAATGATGATGACGACAGTGATGAAAATGATAATGACGACGATGATGAGGATGACAGAGACGACAATGTGAAGAACACAACCAACCCACCTCCTTCTGAAACCTCCAAATAATCAAGATTGATATTATCTGTTTGTTTCACTTCGTATTGTCTATTTGACTATCTGGTGCATTGGTATGTGGACTTTATGTAGTGATATTTCAACTTTAACATTGTTATTGGATGTTCAAAACAATAAATATTTGGTCAACTAATTTTTTTGATAAGTACATATTCATGCTCTACATTTATATGTCCACTGACATTAGCGTACAATAGCTAGTGTGAAGAAAATTATAGTTACATTGGAAAGAATAATACGGTTAATAGAAACATCTGGGAATAATTTCACAGACTGAGAATTGAAAATTTTAGTGTATGGGTAATATCTAATATGAGTATAAGAATATGTTCCCACTCTTTAAAGTTTAACTGAATATGAATTATCCGGGTATCCTGATGTCATATATAATTTCTTGATTGATGTGATTACTTGGAAACTACCTACGTCAAACTGCAGTGTTTGCTGATAAGATCAAACTAATCTGAGCACTTCAGTAGATAGCACATTAGGTTGATCTCAGCTTAGAGACCTGAATGACTTGGAACCCTTTGAAATTCTCGTTAGCTAACCAATCGTTTGCTAGAAATTTACTAGTATTTGACGTGATTGACAGTAAAGTTATATAAACATCTTGTGAAGGGAGTGACTGAATTTGTCAAGCCTCTGGTGCTCAGTCGGATAGCTTTCAATGAATTTCATAGGATAGTTATTATTGTGTAATACTTTAGTGAGGTCTTGCTTTCAGCAGGTTAGCCATCTCCTAGTCTATCGGGCGACTACACTGTAGTAGAAAAACATTTTTCTAGATAACTACAAATATGGTTTGCATGTTTAAAAACTCATCAGTATTGTCGCAATAAACAGAAACATGATTCATACACCAAAATATTTCTAGAATTCACTGAACAGGAAACCAGATTATTCCTAAATATCTTCGTATGTGCATCCTACTTATAGCAAATAAGTTTGAGGTAACATTGAAGCAATTCAGTTGACTGAATTCAAATGAAGAAAAGCATAAAATTATACTAAAAATTAATTGGCATCCAGCATGAAAATGAACAACTCAAATTCATATTATGAAATATAATAAGTAACAAAGTTTATGTAGTCATATTTGAACCACCGAAAGCGGAAGGGTTAGTTGATTTCAAGAGATCTAAATAAACATTTGAAGTCAAAAATTAATAGAAGAAAACTATCATAATATCAAGGAGGAAGTTATCAATATGATGTTATGAGGCTGAATAGAATATAGCCAGTAATCAACCAGTGAATGACACCATTAGGCTCTGATGATATAAAGGCCCTAAAAAATGGATGAGACTTCAATGTGACAACTGACGTATCAACGCCAAGAGATATTTTTCCTATTGTAGCAGTACTACTAAGTACAAATGATAAGGCAGTTGCTAGTCAGCTTTAGTTATTGAGTAGATTAACACAGAAACGCTGAAAAAGCAAAAAAGAGCTTATGAAAACACGAAACGTCAGTTTTGAGAAATTTAAGTAATACTTAGACTACAGCAATTGCGTAATCAGACAACAGGAATGCCATGGTCTTTTTAAACGATATAGGTCGCGCCAGAAAGTTCAGTGAACACATTCAAATGGGTCGTATGAGCAGATTAAGGGACGTGTAAGTAAGTTTATGTATATGATCAGTTAACTTACATTTGGCATGGTATACAAGATAAAGTCAACTTCGAATGATTTAAAACGGTTTAACCTATTACCTAATATCAATATAATCCTAGTAGCAGGTACTATTAGAATGCATCAAGCAAAATTCTCTACTTACCTAATAGTCGACTTGAGAAACAACCAAACGCGTGAGATATCTAAATATTTGACATTAGTATTGCGAGGAATGAGGGTCACTAAAATTCTAGACTAAGTGATTCGTAATAAATAAGACGAAGGCTTAAAGAAATTTCAGTGAGAAAGGATTAAAAATTGAATCACCTTGATGTAACAATTCTATACACCAATATTCCGCTTAATACAGATCTGAAAGTAGGCAGGAACGACTTGCACATTGATCCTGAATTTATACTTGGAAATAAGGCATCCGTGGGAGAAATAATAATAGGTGGGCGACTGCTTTACGTTCACAGTATTAAAATTTCAAAATAAAAGACAAATTAACAAATAAGTTTGCAGCAGGGTTACTGGTATTTCTAGTAGAAGCAGACAGATTTTGTGGATAGCTGGTAATCTTAAGCTATTAGGACTTCCAGTCCTGAACCTAGATTACAGTGAAAATGTGTTGATAAAAATTGGCAGAGTTATTATTTATTTTATTTTATTTTGGTTTCAGCTTGATTCCACACCGTATTTTTTAGTACAGGTATGGCATTTTCAGCATGTGATATCGGTAGCCCAAAATTCACAGGCAAATCATAGATATCGAGTGTGCGTCGGCGAGGGATGGAACTCCGGACCATGTGCATGGTCGGCGAGAGTCCTAACCACTGTGCCACCGACTATCAAAGCCTAAGCGGATATATCAGAATTGAGATGCAATAGTTGTTGAAAAATGCAAATAAAAGCAATGCAAACATGACATCATACTATATGGTTGTTCCTTATTTGTTGTAAGAATTTCTTCCAGTCCCTAAACATATAATCTATGGAGAAATGCATTCATCCAGGTGACTGTAGGCCATCATAGTTTGAGGTCTATTGACATTTTTGACGCTGTTCTTTTACTTTCTCCTAATTCTAATCCCAACCTTATACTAAAAAGCCATAACCCTGACAAACAGTATAGATTTACAGAAAAAAATACCTAGAGAACGAATGGAATACTGTATCTGTCCTCTTTAAGTCCAGAAAGACAGTCATGGTTTTATTTGAAATGACCCTTCATAGCATTCCCTACATCTGATTGCTTTCTAAAGGTAAAATCTTGAATGGGCGGGGCTTTGACTATGCTCCCTAAACTTCGCCAACAAATTTATTATGTAGAAGTCTAAGCCTAACCATAGTTTCTCCACAGTCCAGTTTACTTTGTAGTAAGAATGCGAACACGGTAAAATGGATGTGCTAAATTGTAAATTTACTAGATGGAAGTTAGGATTTTAAGATCTGTAGGAAATCATCATATATCGACAATTACTTAGAACGTGAGTCACCACACAGAAAATCAATAATGGTTGGTTTAGTCAAATGCTTGTGTAATACTGCCAGTGAAATAGAAAATTTGAACAAAACATTAAGAAAATAAGGGAAGCGCTATTGCAGAGTCCATTCAAACTCTTATAACAACCGTATTAAAAGTAGGATTAGTGATGTAAGTAGTGAAAATAATATGAATTATAAAGAATTAAAAGCCTCGAAACTACCAATTTATAAGGAAGAATTGTCAAATGCCTTGAGTAAGATTCTAAGCAGTGCTAGAATTGTGGTGGTACTTAAACTAAGCAACTCATTTTGAGATAAACCTTGCCATACTGAGTAATTTAAATCAAATTGTTTAAAATAATACGATTTCCTAAGGGCTATGCAGTAATATTAACGTATACAGTAGATAAAGGTCAACAGCGTTTTCGGGAAGTAGGATTTTGTTTAGTTCTAGATTGACTGGTTCTGGTTGATTTAGTGATCTAGTAAAAGAAGCCCAGACATTGTTATGAATGCATCACTACATGGAAATGCATTCATAACAATGTCTGGACACATGGAGACGCCAATGCACAAAATGAAGACAGAATTAGACTTGTCAGGCAGACATAGAAGTTGGCGCACCATTCTGAAAACACAAGCTTATCCACGTTTCGTGTATCAACCCTCTGACTAAGGACAAGCATGCCGCCTTCTTAAGATTCGTATACAACATCCTTCACCTCCCTCATTCCATGTGTGTTCTAGTTTGAGAATCACACTGTTGCAGACGAGAATAGACTGACTTCACTGTCTTGAGTAATATAAAGTCAGTATGATTAGTTTTCAATCTTCACTTCATTTACTAGCTTCCCACATGTTGTCTTGATACGGGGAAGTCATAATTCTATGAATTTTATGTGCCCGCAATGCACATCTGCTCTTTAGACGTCTCACACTGCAGTCTCAACATTAGAGGATTCCTCAGTTGTTATTGACATTTATGATCGGTCATCAATCTCATCTGATTGCTGAATGACATTGTTTATCATTTCCAAATCTCATAAAGCGATACTTCAGCCTTCTTTTTCGATTTTTGCATAAAACAATGCGTCACATATCTCTATATTTTTATCCAAAAAGAACTACAATGCGGCTTAGTGAGTTGTTACTGCTGAGTTTGGTTTTCTATGAACATGTGTTGACCTAACCGTTACCTGTCAATTTGGATGTTCAAAGTAAGCGAGTATAAACGTTTTATTCCTGTGTGGTTGTTTTCCCATTCAATATTCGAGAGTCTGCATTGACTTAGTGACTTTTTCCCCTTGTTGTTGTCATTATCACGTATCTGATTCTGGTGAGAATTAACGAACTGAAATTCAAAAATATCTCAACATTTTATCATGCATTCAGACGAGATCGTCATCGTCATCTTCATCGACGTTCATTGTCAATCATCAGAGTCAATCGTGGTGAGCATGCATAACTGACATATAGAATATATGAGTAGTAAGATGAAATTTATAAGTTAGTGGGGTGTTTTGCTAAGAAGCTGTACACATAGCCTAATAGATGAGACATGTGTCACCCAGTTTCTTTCCTATCTATCTATTTTTTACCATCCCCTCACGATTGCCCATAATTTCTTATCGCCTCCTCGCCACACGATCTCCTCCATGCCACACTACGACAACCCACTCGTCGCTTTTCAATTGGATTCCATTTAAACTTGGCGTGCAATGTCATTTGACGGACCCTCCAGAACGGATATAAAGCTAAGTGATCAGTACCGTGTTAAGGCGATGACAACGTTTTAGGAAGAATATGAATACTTATTTATACTCAGACATCGAGATTAGGATTCTGACTTAATTTCGCAGTGAGTGAAACATTACGAATTGGATTCAGCAGAGACTATGGATGTATTGAGGATAACGATATGTCAGACGAATAGTACCTCAGCATTCCATTGACCGCAATTTCAACGAATATGCCCATATCTTTCCTCATTGGTGTTTCGCGATCATAGGTGATTGTTTGGAAC